TTAACGACCTTTTGGAAAAGGTGCCGGCAACTGAACAAAAGTTCAAGTAATTAGGTGTGATCTAATGCATTCTTGTCATTTTACAACGACAACGAAAAATCTGTACACTTTATTTTTCTGTTCCCCCTCCTCGTTTCTTCCTAGATTCCTGCATTATTGGCGACCACCCAAAAATACAAATCAAGAACTCTACTTTCTGTATGAGTGCCTATCCAAATCTAACCATGGTTAACTTCACCAGGGAAGGAAACAAAACATTTGTCAGTGGCAGCGAAGAATACTTCAAGTAAGATCTTTCTTTGTTTAGCAAAAATATGCTGATCTTTCTGTAAAATCCACTGGAACAGGTGACAGCGTGGCTTGGAAAACCAGAAATACGGCAGTGAAGGGCAGCAAGTGATGCTCATTTTTTGTGCTTAGGGCTGATGAGAGCTGAATTCAAACACTGGTTACTTGTTTTCTGTTCCTGTGCTGCTTAGCACAGCTGGGCTGTCGGCCCGTGCCCAGCAGTTTTATCTACTACTGCAATGCAGATAAATAAAATAATACATGGTGAGAATCACTGGAACCATCCAGAGAAACTGCTGAGGACACTGAAGCAAAACAAAAAAGGAATTTACGCTGAATTACTGCCTGTGGTTGCTTTCATTATTTTTTTTTTCCCCAAAGTTTTTAATCTTTTTTTTTCCCCCCCTTAGGTACTTTGTATTGAAGATTTCAGCAGGGATTGAATATCCTGGTGAGATTAGATGGCCCTTGGCATTATCTCTTTTCCTGGCTTGGGTGATTGTTTATGCCTCCCTTGCTAAAGGAATCAAGTCATCAGGAAAAGTAAGAACAATATTTGTGATTGTACACACACAAGAAAGCAGGGTGCTGGTTTTGAGGGACTCACACTCTCATTTAAAGAATGAATTATTTGACAATATTTTCAGTAAATGACTAAGTATTAATTGAAATGCCTTTTTCCTCTCTGTGTTTTCCTTTCTAGTTAAAACAGAAAGTATTTTTGTTCAACATTTTTTTCCTCTAATCTTCAATAAATTTAAAATGAACTCTTCAGCTGTACTCAGCAGTGGGATGGCACAAATGGTACTTTCCAGCCTTCCCCATTCTGTGTGGCGTTCATAAAAATTCTGCCAGCATCTCACATTTCAGTGAAATCCGAGAAATTGGGATGTAAATTAAAATGTTAAGTAACATATTTTAAAATCAGAACTGCACTTGAAAAAAGCCCAGTGTGTGTGTGAGCAACACAACTAGGTATTTCCTGGGATAAAGATGGTGGAAATGGAGACATGAATTTTCTAGGGCTGGTCACAGAGTTCCAACTCGAAGCCATCCCTCTGCTTCTAGAAGCTGACTTCATCTCCTGGGAGATCACTTGGCAATTAACAGAAAATCCAGGGACTCAGAGTGCCAGGGGAAAGCTGAGATTTTTTCCCCCCTTACTCTAGTTGGTTAGGAAAAAATATTTTATGAAAGGCAAGAGACTGGATAATAATATGGGCTTGGATGTGGCAAAGGATATTTCTCTAAGTGACTCTTCGTGGCCAAGAGAAATACTGACACTGATGTCAGAGAGAAAAATATTAACATTAACCCCTGGGTATTGGAGATAGAAATCCTGTAATTATGTAGAGATTAGTTCAGTATCTTGACTGTGCAGAAATTCATCAGGGCAACTTGTTGGAAACAAGAAGAAAAGTTTGAAAAGCAGTTTGCAAAGCCACTTCAGCTGAGGGAGGTGATTCTCCCCTGCCCTGGAGGAGCCACCTAGAGCCCTGTGTGAAAGCACAACGTGAGCTGTTGCTATTTGTAAGGCAAAGGAGAAGGTTTATTTCTTGATTTTAACTTTTATACTTTCCTAAAGGTGACAGTGGATTGGAGAGTGAATGTGTCACCTCTCCAAAGACATTGGACAAACCACTAGTACATCAAGTTTCTCCATCCCCATGAAGGAATGCAAACCAATATGTTGTTAATAGAAAATTGCGTGAGAAAGTTTTTTAACAGAATATAAACTCAGAAAATCTTAAGAATTGGGGTGACCCTGTGTGCAGCTCTGGAGCCCACAGCACAGGGAGGATCTCTTGGAATGAGCCCAGAGGAGAGCACAAAGGTGCTCAGGGGCTCACAGGTATCTTTGCTATGGGGCAGCTGGGGAACAGAAAGGTCCCAGGAGAACTTCCACCACCAAAGGGGCCACAGGAGAGCTGGAGAGGGACTGGGACAAGGACATGGAGTGACAGGACAAGGAAAAATTCCTTCAAAGTGCCATAGGGAGGGTTTAGATTAGACATCAGGAAGAAATCTCCTCTGTAAAGGTGGTGGGGTCCTGGCACGGGTTGCCCAGAGAAGCTGTGGCTGCCCCATCCCTGGGAATGCTCAAGGCCAGGTTGGGCTGGGTTTGGATCATGCTGGTCTAGGCAGGGTCATTCTGTGTCCCCCACAGCAGGGCTTGGAATGAGATGATCTTTCAGGTCCTTTCCAACCCAAACCATTCCATGATATAATTCCATCGTGTGTTATGGTATGATTCTGTTTTGTTTAGGGTCAGATGTTGATGTGAAAAATATTTGGAATAATTTTGTGTTGAATGTAAAGCTTAACTGGCCATAACACAAGGATTTTATCTGAACACAGAGCTGTGTTCTAGATAATTATTAAAGCATTAAACAAACAGCCACTGTTGTGTATTTAGACATCATGATGGTTAGGTCTGTCTTGCTAATTTCAGACTTTCCTTTTTTTTGAATTTGGACCATAACTATCATCATGGTGATTTATAATTATTAAGAGCTACTAAGAGTAATAAAAATTCTTTAGGCTTTTTTTTTTGTTAAATACAAAAAATATAGAAGAAAACTACAGAAATATGTTACTGAATAGCACTTCTCCTTTCATTTCTACTGAACTGTGATAGTTCACTCTGGGCAATGTTCAAAAGTGAGATTTTCCTTTAGCTTTAAATTACTATTTCTCCTCTCCAGATGGAGAGAGGAACCCTATTCCCTTCTCTGCCTAGAATTCCAGCTCTTACCACTGTTATTGATGTTATCCTTGTTCCCAGCAGCAGGAAGAGCTGTAAAATTCCAGATTTCCAGGGAAATAACCCTGTTGTTTCCTTAGTTTATCCCCTGACTTCTGTCTCTGAGACTGAGTTGTGGGACTCAGATTCAGTCAAAGAGAGAAACTGAGAGTTTCTAGCCAGGCAGAGGCCTGGGAAAGAGTTGGAGAAGAATGTAAATAATTCTTTATCTCTCTTGTTGTTCACATTGTTTATAGTTAAGTTCTATCACTGTGCGTCAAGCACTCTGCACCAATGCTGTGACTTGTTTTCACTTCAGAACCAATGGAGTTGGTCCTTGCAGAGCTCTATATAAAAGAGCAGTGTATTTTGAATAAATCAGAGTTTTACTCTCACAGCCTTCTGAGTCAGAATCTTCTCATTCCATCCTGCCTCGACAGCGACACTGAGTAATTGAGTAATTGCCTTCTCCTGGCAGTAGTGGCATTTTGGTTTCCCCTCCTCTCTTCCCACCCAGATGAAGCCTCTCAGGGCCCTTTTCTCTGCCCGTGCAGGTTGTGTACTTCACAGCCACATTCCCCTACGTGGTGCTCATCATCCTGCTCATAAGAGGAGTGACTCTGCCCGGAGCTGGAGATGGCATCTGGTACTTCATCACGCCCAAGTGGGAGAAGCTGATTGATGCTATGGTGGGTTTGCTGCTGCACTCAGAGCTGCTGGGGTGAATAAATCACAGGTCTCTCGGGGGCTGTTGCAAGCCTTTTCCGTGTGCAGAGGTGGGGTTGTCATCTGTGGAAACCTGTTCTACATCTTACATGGGTGAAGTATTATTTAGGGTCACTGGCAAAGAAAACAGCAGTATCTGATGCAGGTTTTCCCTCTTGACTTGTATTTTTTGTTTCTGAATGCATTTGAACTGATATATATCAAACAATATAGTTTTTATATTTCTATCTTCCATATACAGAAAGGTTTATATTGTCCTTTTACATGGACTCAACAAGAACAGTGTTTCTTATCACATGAGCCTGATGTATTTAGTGGCAGGATTTTGCTTTTAAATATTCTATTGACATCCATTGGTCTAACTCTTTCCTGAAGCTGATGCTATTTTCTTTCCTACTTAGGTTTGGAAGGATGCTGCCACTCAGATTTTCTTCTCCTTATCTGCAGCATGGGGAGGTCTAATTACCCTCTCTTCATACAACAAATTCCATAATAACTGCTACAGGTGTGTAAGAGTGAAATACATCTGTGTTATTGAACAGGTTTGTCAAAAAACAGTTATCCTTCATCTTCCAGAAATCTGGTTTGCAGGACTCCATCTCTTGTCTTTTCTCCCTTGTATTTTTTTTTTCCTGCAGTCCTTTTGTCTTTGTTCCTCTCTTGTATTTTTTTCTCTTTTCTTCTCCTCTTTTTCCTTTCTTTCCTATTTTTTTTTCTTTTTTTGGTGTATGTGTGTTTCATTTACATTTAACCATTTTTGGTTTTGTGTATTTTTTCCTCTCTTCAGGCCCTAATCTACTACTCTCAAGATGATCATTTAGGCTTATTAAAGTTCCTGCTGGCTCCCCACTTTCAGAATTAGGAGGTTGAGGTTGAAGGACAGCCTGGGATGTGTCAAGAGCTGCGAGGAGTGAAACAGAATCACCTGGCAGCTCTGCTGAAGGACAGCCCATGGGCAGAGTGGGCTGAAAATTGCACTGTGAAACAGACAGGGCTTTAACTGGCAACTTCCATTATGTGATTCTTACATCTCCTAAATGCTCTTTCTTTTTCCAATTACTCCTACTGTGATTTTTACATGCAAAAAGTTATTTATTTCATGCTATGAAATCTAAAATCGCTTATTTGAGAGCTATTTTTACATGGGAAAAAGTCACATTGTATAATTTTTCATGCAAAAGCCTGGCAGCTCAAATGTCTGCAGATGGAAAACACCAAAGCAAGTGGCATTGGTGAAGTGCTTCCCTGCTATTTTACAGCTTTTAGAATCAGTCTGAAGCAAAGCTTTGCCAATTCTTGCAATGCCAGAGGTGCTGATTCAGGACAGCCAGCAGCATGCACAGGGATTCCCCCAAGGGGATGATCAAAAACTTTCCCCAATCAAGACTTCAAAGCAAACACTCCTTGGGATTTCCACTGCCATCTCCTATGGCTTCTAAGTATAGAATATAAAATACTTAACTTAAAAAAGAAATGTGGATGAGAATATGAAAAAGGAATTTAAAAAAAAAAATTACTAGTGCTCAAAAGTAATATAATTAAATTATCCCAAACTATGGATGAAAGCTAACAGTGTTGCGTGCACAGTAACTCCCACCCAGCAATCCTTTGGGTCCTGTTTTTGAAAATGCTATTCCTGAGTCTTTTTTTTTTTTTTTAATGGATAATTACAATCAAAATATAAAGGAGGGAAATGGAGGAAGCATCACGCTACCTTTCTGCACTAATTTAACAATCTTTTGTGGAGTTTGGAAGATCTTAATGAAATTTTTGAAGGGAATACATGGTAATGAAGTATAAAAATATTTGGTTCGAATACCAAATACATGCTTTACCTGTGTTAGGGAGGGATATGAAAGACTGAAGTAGAAACAATTAGAAAAGCTTAGTTACTCTCAATATTTTAAATTTTACAACACAACCTTGAATATTGAAATGAAGCATGACTATTTTCTCTCAATTTCTATTACATTTTAATGTATCACAAATCATTAAATTTTTAATACATCAATTATAATTTTCAGTTACACATTAATTTTAAACGTAGTCCCAAATCTGTAATTGCAGTAAACTTTCATAAATTGGCTTCATAATGGGTACCTGAAATATTTCAAACCTATCCAGGTTTTGAAAGAAGGTTAACACATGATGATTCCAAACAGGACACTCATTTTTTTTCTATAGACCCAAAGAATTAACAAAATCATTCCTGTTCAGACATGCTCTGTTAGACATTCTAGAAATTTGCCAGCTCAGTGAGGTTCTTTGACAGCTTTGCAAGTTGTATTTCATTCTCTTCCTGACAAAATAATAGCAGTAGGAATAAACAATTCTAGCCAACATAAACCCCCTAAATATTTAAAGTGAGCAATTTGTTTTTCTGAAGACGTAGTAGTTTATGGAGAAGTTCTCTGGACATGCATATTGTGAAAAAAATCCTTTTAAGAATGTAATAACTGTGGGTGGGGCTCATGAGGGCTGGTTTGCTGTCAAGGCTTGACATATCCAGCATGGTAAGGTGTTCAGCTACAGATTTCTTGAGATTCCTTTGATAATAACAACCATGGAAAAAAACATACCAAGGAATCCTCCCTCTATTGATAGGAAGGTGATTGAGCAAGCTCTGTGAGTTTAACCCTGGAATTTTGTGTATAAACACAGGAAGGACAAGACCAAAACCACCTCAGCTGGACAGCAGTGGTTAGTCCATAGCTAATATGGAGAACAGATGTCCTTGTGAAGCAAAGAGTTAAAAAATACTTTAAAATCAAGTCCCTATGGCTGTCTCTCTCCTTCAGAGAGGCCAAGAGCAGAGGTGCTTGCCTCCTGCATGGTTCCTACACTGCACATGGGTGATGGAGGCTTGCAGAGCTGATCCTGGTGCTGCTGTGGAGACTTCTGTGCCCTCTGATGGGTGTCAAAGCGTGCCTTCACCACCAGCATCCCACAAGGGATACACACACACACAAGATGTGTGTGCTGGTGAGAAACTCCTGAAATACATAGACAAAACCTTCCTTGTGAAATACATAGACAAAACCTTCCCTGTGTGTGTCCCAACAGGCCTCTTGTGCTTTCTCTGCAGGGACACACTGATTGTCACGTGCACCAACAGTGCCACCAGCATCTTTGCAGGCTTTGTCATCTTCTCAGTGATTGGCTTCATGGCAAACCAGCTCCAAGTGAACATTGAAGCCGTGGCAGACCAAGGTAGGGCTCGCTGGCATTTCATTGCTTAGGCAGGCACCCCATGGCACTCCCAGATGAGAGATGATCACTCCAATATCATTGATATTAGGAGGTGGGAATAATGATTTCAAGCTGGTGTGGATTCCTAAGCCACGTGTAAGCATTTTTGCACAGGAAAAAGTAGCCTGGGAAGTCAAGATTTGAGTCAAAACTTGCTTGGTAAGAGAAGGAAGTTGAGACTCATTTTAAGCCTTTGTGTAAATGACTGATGGAGGGTAGGGTGGGATGGTCCCTTCATGTAGTCTGAGGGAATATTTGCCTTCTCATTGTCAAATTCTCTTCAAAGTAAAAATTAACTCTGATGGTGGAAATTCTGGATGAGAGGAGGGTGGGAGAAATCTGGTGCCAGGGGTGGGCAGTGCTTCTGGACTGTGAGGAGCCAGGAGGTGCCTCCATGGAGAAGCAAAACATTCCTGAAGAGCTGATCAGAACATCTTGGTTAGTAAAGAGAGGTGGTCATTAGTGGGGATTTGAAAGGTCTTAATTGGTAGAGCTGAGCACCACTATGCCAGCTAAACCCTAGCTCTCAACTCCAGAGATGAGGCCCCCACCACCTCCCTGGGCAGACCATTCCAATGTTTAACCACCTTCCAGTGAAAAAATTCTTCCTGATTTCCAGCCTGAGCCTCCCTGGCACAGCTGGAACTCTGTCCTCTTGTCCTGTCCCTGTTCCCTGGGAGCAGAGCCTGACCCCACCCGGCTGCACCCTCCTGGCAGGGGCTTGTAGGAGTTTTTAGGAGTAATGTATAAATTTATATATTTATTTTAGACTTCAGCCCCAAAAATGGAAACCACAGTGCACTCCAGTGAGGAGCTGGAGCTAAAGGAGCTGTGCTTGGGGCGAGCAGCAGCCCCAGGCTGGAGCTCTCTGTTCCCAGCTGTTCCAGCTGTCAGGGCATTTCTCAGAGCTGCTCAGATCATGGAAAATTGGTTCATGAGGGTCAGGCTTTGCTGGTCTCCGTGACAGGGGGAAACAAAACTTAGTGAAGTAATAAAAGATGAATTTGCAATAGGAAGAGAGTGAAGATCAAGTGTAATTGTGGACTGAGGTAGTGCGTTTCATAGCAGTAGTTAAAAAGCAAACTCAAGAACTCGGGAAAAAAACAGCCCTTGCCATTGCCAGATTATTATTTTTTTTTAATTCTAAAATTGTATTTCTTTTTGCAGTGAAGGAGAAAAAAGCCACATGATGATGATGCAGAATCTCCCTTTAAGTTTTTAAAACCTTGAATGAAAATGTTAATGGAAAGGAGTTTT